TAGAAGCAATGCACGATAATGCGCTTGATATCTCGAAAACGGACAAAGCGTTAGGAGCTCCCGCTCGCCAGGGGCGCAGAAAATGCAGAAAGTCTTCTTCGGGAGCAATACGACGTCAGCCCGAGGTTACCCGATTCGGAAAAACAACAACCACGGGCTAATGTCATGAACGTTTACGACTTCCTGTTGTAATGAGCGACATTAGATACTATCGCTGGGGGATTTGTTGTTTTGTGCGTGTGTGTTTGTGTGCATGCGCGTGTGCGTGCGTGCGCGAGCGTGTGTGTTTGTGTGTATGCGCGTGTGCGTGCGTGCGCGCGCGTGTGTGTTTGTGTGTATGCGCGTGTGCGTGCGTGCGCGCGCGTGTGTGTGTGCACGCGCACGCGTCATTTGAGGTACAAACAGCGCCCTCTGGTTGCGTGCGTGCCTAATCTATTAGCACAGCTGTTCTAATCTGGCGTGCCACGAGCAAGCGCTCGTTGGGATATATTCAATCATATTGATCATCAGCGAACATTATATAGGTTGCCGTAGCTAAGTGGTGAGAGTGATCACAATTCAAGCGGCCAGATGCGGACTACAGTCATGTCAGAAGCCAATGGGTTACGTACATCGCTTGATGTATCGTGGCATAGATATTGAGAGAGAGAGAGCATGTGGGATAATGGGTCATAGCCTGCTACATAGGGGAGTTGGATACAGGAGACACTATTGAGTTTGATAAAGCATGCTACGGCTGTAGAATAATTATGCTCATAAGGACGCAAAAAGACTTCACTTTGCATGCTGGCCTGAGCCACATTGTATGATCGCTTCACGGTGTGAGGACCGAGGGTGAGGATAGGATGGAGGCAGAGGGTAAGGTTGAAGTGGGAGAGGATGGGTGATGATGATGAAGTGGTTGCATCCATGTGATGAGTGTGAGATATTAGGCGGGAATATGCGTAGCTCATAGAGTCATGTCGTTCATCAGAATTTCAACAGACCGCGGGCGGCGCACGTGCTTCCCCCTGGCGGCGCTCACGTGCTTCCCCCTGGCGGCGCTCACGTGCTTCCCCTGGCGGCGCGCACGTGCTGCCATCTCGCTCTCAAGCTCACAAGTATTTCTCCGGGAATATCAGCGGTAGTGGGAGAGATGCATGCAAACAGCGCGCTTTATTAAATATTAGTGTGAGTATTCCATATAGCGAGATTGCGCTTGGCAAATACAGCAATACTAATATAAGCTCTGCGCAACTGGGCGTTCTAACGTGTGTCTCAATCATAGCCGCGCTCTCGGTAAGCTGGAGCGTCCATATATAAATGATGTATGTAAACAGTTATATCTGCTCATATATATATATATATATCTCTCTCTCTCTCTCTCTCTCTCTCTCTCTCTCTCTCTC